AGAGAAGAGGCGTAGGTCGTCCCGTTCCGTGTGTGTGTGTGTGTGTGTGTGTGTGTGTGAGAGAGAGAGAGAGGGCTGGTCATTTCCCAACCTGTGTGTGTGTGTGTGTGTGTGTGTGTGTGTGAGACAGAGAGAGAGAGAGAGGCTGGTCACTTTCCCCAACTGTGTGTGTGTGTGTGTGTGAGGCTGGTCACTTTCCCCAAGTGTGTGTGTGTGTGTGTGACTTGTCCAAGATCTCATAGCAAGTAAGTGAAAGACCTTGAACCTTGTCTTCTTTTAGATTCTGTCACCCTCCCACCTCTCCCATCCAGTTCCTCTCACTTCTGGAAACCTCCCTGAGTATCCCACGTCACAGTGGTTTCCCCTCTGGTCTCTGTGTTCCCTCTTAGGCTATGAACTTCTAAAAAGCAGGTACCCTACAACCCTAAAGCTTAGCAAAGGAGTGGATCCATAAAAGACCTTGAGAAATATTTGTCTCATTAATCAGTAGATTTACTCCTTGGTGATAATGAGTGATTGACTTTTTCCTTTTAGAATTCCTTTGGAGAACTTCTCTGGTTTGGACCCAAAACACATTCCCAGGTCCGGCAGAAGTGGCCTGTTAACCAGGCTATTCCACGGTGAAGCAGGCTGCTTGTAGAGAGAAAAACGAGCTTCTGCTGCCCTTCCTGTTCCCTAGGGTCTGTGGCCTTAACTCGCCCCAGTTGAGCTCAGGTGCACTCAGAAACTCACTTTGCTGGGAAAGAAGAAAGGACACTTTGGAGTTCAGAGCAGCAGAGGGCACTAGGCCCTGGGCTGGAATGGTTGGAACTGCAGACCAGTTTCTCCCACCCTGGTCTTTGGACTTTACAAGGCAAGAAATTTTCTCAGCAGACAGGCTCTGCCCTGAAAGCATCCATAAAAATGCTGGACCTTACCACGGTTGTTAGCAATGGTGGGTCTGCTGTGGAAACAGAGTCCCAAAGCCCAGGTGATTAGAACATTTCTTCATGGACCTTATGTCTTTTAAATCTAGCAAGAAAGAAGGAGGTCTCAAAGGCTACTTATAACAAAGCCTCTGTACTTCCAGTCCTGATGATACCCAGCCATACTCATTTTTTGAAGTAGCTGCAAGAGCAATCCAGGAGTCCATACAGCCTAGTTTATAGGCTATTTCTATTTCCAGAGAATTGCTGAATTCCACTTTCTATATCCACAACAGGACCCTCTCTTCTATGACAGGAAAGAACAAAGTGCTATGCACATATGCTGCTTTTAATGTATAGTCACTACTTGGCCAACAGCATCATACATGTATTAGTTCCTCCACAGGCATTTTGGTGGATGAATGGACCACTGAGAGTAGATGTTCACCCCTTTGCCCTAAAGTTCCCCTTTCCCCAGGACTGAGGAGCTGGAGTTGGTGTTGACTGACGTAAGTTTTCAAAAAGCAGTTTGGTGATATGTAGCAAGAGCCATAAAAAGGTTCATACTTTTTGACCCAACACCCCCACTTCTGGGAATCTGTCCTAAGGACATTCTCTAAATGATTGATACAAAGACTATGCAGTAACATGAAATGTTTATGATGTAATCACAAACAAGTCTGGAAGAATCGACCAAGAAATTGGCCAGAGAGAATACTTGTGTTATAGAGTAATGAATTCGTCAGAGATACTTTTTCTCTTTCCCAAACTTTGATAGTAGCTTGATTTTTACCCTCATCTGCCACTCAGGGTTAGTCAGTCAGGAACCTGGCAGAAACAGCACACTCAGATGGAATCACTGATGAACGTTTAATAAAGACTATTCCGTTTCCAGTCCATTCCAAGACTGGTTTCTGTAACTCTCAAATGACTCACTCAACAATTGAGCACCTACTTACTGTCCTAGTGAGGGAGGCTGACTTTCAAGTACATTAATTGTATCATAAACGCAAATAATAAATATATAAATTGAATGTTGTCAGGAACACAAAGAAGCAACTATCTGTCAGGAGCGAGGTGTGACCCAAGGAAGGCCTCAAAGGCGGGTGATTGATTCATGTTCAGTTTTGAAGGTGGTCTGCCAAAACAAAAGGGCCACAACATGTACAAAGGCAGAAACGCATGGAATAACACGCTGGATTTAGGAAATTACATGTGGCTCTGCAGGGCTGGAAGGAATGCTGAGTGGGTGTGAAGGAACTATGGGGCGAAGACTTTGGCTAGATCACGCAGGGCCCTGTGCTCCAAGTGGGCTTTGTATGTTGGAGCTACCGTCGGATTTGCATTTTAGAGAGATGACTCTTGGTCTCAGTGGAGAGAGTGGACTGAAGGGGGAGAGAGAGAATGGAGGCAGAGATTTGTGAAAAGAAGTCTTTGGGTTTTGACTGGGTCGATCAGCTGATACCTTTTCTCAGTATTGGTCTCTCCTGACTTTTATTTGGCGAAAGTATCGCCTCTCCGGGATCTCCTTCCCACCTTCTCCCCGAAGGCCCTGCGGGAGGGCGGGGAAGGGAGGCAAGGGGTGGCCCTGCCTGGGTGGTCTCCTGCCCCGCCCCCCGCGGCGCCGTTGCCTAGCAGCGGATCCGGCCGCACGGCTCCGGGTAATTTGCGGGCTGCTCAGCCAATGGGAGGGCGTAGTCCCGGCCCGCTCCCTTTTTCTGCGACTACAGACGCCTCTTCGGCACTGCGGTCGCCACCTCGAGCCGCAACGCGGGTGCGGGCTGGTAGCTGTTCCTGCAGCTGCATCCACTCCGACTCCGACTCCGCTCCCCGGGCACGCACCGCCCTGCAGGCCGACTCACAGCCGCCGCTGCCCACTTGCATCCGCGCCTAAGCGTCTCCACTGAGTCCCAACGCGGGGCCCCGCGCTACGTCGGACCGGGCAAGCCTATGGGGGCTCCCAGATAACGCGGGTTGGGGGTGCCCACGCACCCCGATCCCCACCAGCATGGCCCGGCCTCCACCCCTCGGGGAGCTGCCCCCGGGCTACACATCCCCAGCTCGATCCGCAGCACCCCAGGTGAGTGGAGGGGAAGCCGGAGGAAGGAAGATTGGCACCAGGTCTAGAGACCCCAGGTCTGTCTCTTTGCAAGGTGTAATGTCTCTTAGTGCCATGTGTTACTACTTGCCCTGTGTATGTGTCTGTGTCTCCTCGGCATCTGGCCAGTGAGAGTGTGTCTGTGCGTCCACCCCTATCCACCTGAGAACAGGTGTGCATATAGGTATCCAATCTCAGAAAACGAGTTTATGCCTTCCTCGGGTGTGTTTTGGGTGGTAAGTAGGGAATGGAGTTAAATCTTTTTCCAAGTTTGGGCCTGGGTCTTTGTAGGTCCTCCCTGTCTTGCATCCAGAAACCAAGAAGCTAGGTCTTGGCAGAGGGTGTAATAGGGAGAAAAGGGAACTGTTTCATGTGTTGTTGCAGTAACACCTGGCTGACCCTTCTCTTTCCACCCCAGATCCTAGCTGGGAGCCTGAAGGCTCCACTCTGGCTTCGTGCTTACTTCCAGGGCCTGCTCTTCTCTCTGGGCTGCGGGATCCAGAGACACTGCGGCAAAGTGCTCTTCCTGGGACTTCTGGCCTTTGGGGCCCTAGCACTGGGTCTCCGCGTGGCCATCATTGAGACAGACCTAGAACAGCTCTGGGTGGAAGGTGAGTTGTGGACACTGGCCATAGCTGCTCGAGTATGGTGAGCCCAAGACAAGAACAGGGTGCAGAGCTGGCTACTGAGTTCTAGTGGGCCTGGCTCTGGGTCTGGAGGGGGCAGCTGCCCACCAGTGCTTGGGCTTCTAGAGGCACTGCTCCCTCCCACACCCATAAATGGACATCTGCAGTTGGTGGAGCCCAGTGAATAGGTATATGGAACAGTTATCTGTCAGTGGGTGAATGTACTTAGCATTTACTGCCAGTCTTTATGTGTATTTGACTGCACTGCAGGGTTTGAAAAGGCAACTAAAACAAGATTCATCTTTCACTAGCAAGGGAAGTAAAATATATACTGAGATATAATATACAATATAATACAAAGCAGAAAATGATTATGTTGTATAAGAGAAGGCACGGAGAGATCACATCTGACCAAGAGAATCAGAAAAGTTAGACCTGGAAGGCTAGGGAAACCGAATAAATCATCTGGCAAGTCTCCAAGGAGAGGTCCCATACACCAAGGCCCCCTGCAACCATTTACTGGAAAAGCAGCGCAGAATCTGCATTTTGAGACAACAGCAGAGTCAGATGGGACCAAATCTTCACTTCCTAATGGAAGCATTGGATTAAAATGATGTCTTATTAATAGTTTTGACATAACCCTCCTTTCCTGAGGCCTGGTTTCACATGGCAACCTTTAACAGAGTCAAACTCCCCTCTTTTCTTTCCTGGGAAATTTGCATTTGTGGGCTTCTCCAAACCTCCCCCAGCCCTGGCCCACACCCAAAGGCAAGGCCCAGGTTAGAGTCTCACACCCTTGAGTAATTTCAAATGCTGGCAAGTCCTGGGATCCAGAGCAGATGTTTCTTGGAGCCTGCCTGCCTGCCTGCCTGTTGGGCTCCCACACCCCATCCCCACCCTACCCCCAGCCTTCTGCAGACTCTCACATATATACACACTCTAGGCCAGCCCTGGGGTCCAGAGCAGATGTTTCTCTGTGCCTGCCTGCCCCCAGCCCCAGGACACACATGTGCATACACGCACATACACATACCCCCACCCACACCACTGCTGCCTGGGTGGTCCCAAATGACTCTTGGATTTCCTGCCACAATGGAGGCTGTCTCCCCCCTCTTCCTCCTTCTCCATTCCCCAGATCTTCTCCATCTAAACACTGCTTGAACCTCCATGTTTCCTCATACTCTCTCCTACACTCCAGCACAGGGCAGGCTAGATCCCACTGAATTTTTGCTGCTGTTTGTGGGAGGGTGATGTGCGAGGGTAATAATCAATTCCTAGGTCTTTTCTTTTTATTTCAGAATATCACTCTTGTCTTGTGCTGGCCAGGGCTGTGGGTGTTGTAAAACCACTGCTCTTGACCTGATCTTTTGTCTGTACATTTGTAGTTGAGGCTTCTTCCAGAAATGCCCTAGGCAATGAGGAGCTGATCAAGGTGAGGACTGAGGGAGTATTCTCTGTTCCTTTCCTGTTTTGCTAGTACAGAAAGCAAAGAAAGAAGCAAGGCATTAGCTATCAGAGTTCTGGACCAGAGTCCAGGGTCCTCTCCAGCTTTCCCATGGTGAGATTTGGAATGTGACTTCTCCTTTCTGATCAATTTTAAAGCTAAAGGACTCAGAGATAAATTGTTCTATCTAGAAGGTGGGGGACAGCCACATATCAATTGGTGAAACCACTATTCACTCTGAAACCCAAGGCTGAAACCTTGGGAGTCAGCCTCGGTTCTTGCTCATCTGATTGGTTACTAAACCAGCAAATTCTTCCTTCTCAACCTCTCGCAACACACCCCTTCTTTCCACCCTTGTGTCCGCTGCTCTAGTTGAGGCCCAATTGTATCATTTAGAATACTTTCAGCTACTTGAAAGAGAGAGAAAGGGAAAGAGGGAGGAAGGAAGGAAGATTGATTTATTATCCCCCCATAACAGGAAGCCTGCAGTACACAGAGAAAAGTTCATGGATGGATAATTCAGAAACCTAAGGACATCAGCAAGGACCTAGATTCCTTCTGTCTCCTCTGCCTTCTTCTGCATGTTGAGGTTTTATCCTCAGGCTTATCACCTTCTCCCAAGGTGGCTGCTGCAGTGGCAGAAAAGGGAAGTCATCCCTGTCTTGCATCCCTTTTTGAAAGTGAAGAATAATTTACCAGACACCCCTCCACCCCCACCAACTTCCCATTTGGTTACTTGGGCAAGAACTGTGTAGCATCCTATACCTAAAGCCTTCATTTGGCAAGGACAGTGGAATTACTGTGATTGACTTCTTAGACTAATTAAATTTTATCTCCTGAGTCTGGGGAGGGGCCCAGCTGCCCTAAATCACAATGCCTTTCAGAGAACCACCGAGGACATCAAGGTCCATAAGGTAACTGATCTTTCTCCCTCACCTTCAAATCTGCCTCCACACTGCCCTCCCGTGGTGTATCTAAATCTGGCCAAGTCAGTCCCCTGCTTAGAGCCCTTCCACCACTCTACTAGGTTCTGGGGAGTCTCCAGAAACATGTTCAAGCTCCTTAGCACACTCTAGGCTGCTTCTCCAGCACTGTCTCTGCCTCACTCTTAGCAGCCCAGCAGTGCTGAGCCTTTGACATCCCTTTTTCCCAATTTCTTCCCCTGGCCAACTCCTATTCATCATTCACAACTCAGTTCCAGAATATATCATTAGGTGATGAAAAAGTCAGGTTATCTCACTTCTCTGTTCAAAATGTACCATGGCTGCCATTTCACACAGACAGCCTGAGCCCTTACAGTAGCTTACAGGTCCTTACATGTGAACTTTCTGGACTAAATATGAATATTTCTGAGGGTCCTGAAACATATTGCAGTATTGCTTTCCTCCAAATATTTTACCACATTAACCATCTATTGTAGGTGGGTTACAGTGCGCTCCTGTAAGCCAGGAATGAGTGCTACCAGTTTCTTAATTTTTGCTAATTTGAAAGATGGTAATTTATTACTGTTTTTAATTTGTATTTAGCAGATGACCTATAAAGTGGACTCTTTTCCCATGCTGGCTAGCTAGGTATATTCTCCCTTTTGTAAAGTTTTTAACCAATGTGATGATTGTGATGTCTCTTACGTCTTCCTCACTCACTCACTGTCTCTTTTTTCTCCAATTCTTTCTCATTTTTCTGTCACATCATTTCTCTCCTGGCAACTATTGTACCTACTATGTGCTGGACAACTTCCTAAGTACTTTGCTTGTTTTGATTCTAATTCTACCAAGGTAGGCATTGTCCCTATTTCACAGATGAGGAAATCGAGGGTCAGAGAGACTAAGTAATTTGCCCCAAGCACAGACTAAGCATCAGAGCCAAGACTCAAAGCCGGGTCTGTATAGAGCCTTCATGCTCTCCCCTACCCCTGCTATCTCTTCTACCTGCACGATACATCCCAGTTCACCTGTCCTCATACCTGTCATCATTGCTGTCAGCTGCGACTTATCTTTTGTCTTCCTCATTTTCTCTGAGGATTCTTTATTCTCTTTGATGTTATATTTTAAATTGTGTGTTTGTTTCTCTTGCTTTTGTGTTAGCTCTATGTGGGTTCCTTCTTTCTCCCATGCCTCCTTCCCCTTGGCAAACTCACTTACTGTGGGTAATTGATCTCTGCCCTCCCCTCTGTCCCTCCTTGTGGCAGCTCTAGCCTAAGCCTGGTGAAATAAACATGGCAGTACAGGCCTGCGGAAGGAGTGAGGAGTCAGGAAAGAAAGAAAAAGAGTAGGTAAAATTGACAGTGGAGGAGGCAGGATGGCTGTGTGAGACTGTATTCATGATAGGTGGGCCAGGAATGTGTCTTGGATTGGGGGATGTGAGCATATGGGTGAATCTGTTTTAGGGGGTTACCAAGGGTTCAGGGCTCTCATGAGTGAGGAGATTATGTGGGTTTGAAAAAGAGATTGGGGAGCATGATGATCTGAGGTGGGATTGGAGTCTCAGAGAAGCAGTACATGTGGGCCCCAGGGATGGCACTGACCTACAGGAAGATACCCCAGACAGGTGGAAGCAGGACTGGATCTAAGAACAGACCAAGTCCACAAAGCCTCTGGGATGGTTTCGCCCTGGCCCTCACCTCCTCCAAACCATAGTCAGGTCACAGCATCCCTCACAGCATTCTGGCCTCCCCAGACCCCAGTTACAGAGCTGGCCTCTGTAGCCAGTGTAATACAGGACTTGATCAATGAGATGAAGGCAGGCCTGGCGTTGGCGTTCCCCGTTGTCTGGACAGTGAGACTGATGCAAGGGGTCTTCTTCCCCCCATCCACTTTGATGGCACCTCTGCCAGGGTACATGAGCTAGTTCCATTAGCGGAGGCAGTATGTTGACAGCATCACACTGAAAGACCATCTGACCTTCCCCCTTACCTGTGCCACCACTGAGCCATCATCACCAGGCACCCCACTCCCTACCCCTTCAGCAGAGTGGACTGCAAAACGGTGTATGGATATAAACCGCTGCCTGGGACAACATGAACTAGGAACCAGCCCCCGCGCTGGATCTGTTCTTTTAGGAGACCCTCCAATGGCAGCCTCCCTGTCGGCCCCTTTGTCTTTCCTTGTTCTCCTCACCAGAGGAGAGAGGGACTGGGTGAGGGCTCCCTTACCAGGACACTCCCATAACCCCAGTCTGGCCCGGCTCATGCTGATCTCTCATTTTTAAGTCATTTGCTTCAAACCCAGGCAACCAAGTTCATGCTTAAACCTTAGGTCGCACAAGAATTGCATAGGGCCACACAGGTGAGGCCTCCACTCCAGATTCAGAGCAGAGGTCCAGGAGTGTGGGGAGTCCGCGTGGCCAGCAGGGAGAAAGCAGGGGCTCCTCTCAGCAGCACTTCTTCCACTTGTCCTGGGAGGCCTCTGTGGGTTAGGGTCTCACGTCCCCCAGAGCTCTGATCCACTGAGGCTCTTCCCCTCAAGCTTTCTCTCTCTGCTCTGGCAGCAGGCAGCCGGGTGAGCCAGGAGCTGCAGTACACCAAGGAGAAGCTGGGAGAGGAGGCTGCATATACCTCCCAGATGTTGATACAGACTCCGCGCCGGGAGGGGGAGAATGTCCTCACACCTGAGGCGCTTGGCCTCCACCTCCAGGCAGCCCTCACGGCCAGTAAAGTGCAAGTATCACTCTATGGAAAGTGAGTCTGGCTGAGCCCCTGAGCAGCTGGAGGGTGAGATGTGCTGCAGCAGGGCTGGAGCAGGAATCCCCCTCTTCTGCTGATCTCCTGTGCCCCTGGCCATTGCAGGTCCTGGGATCTGAACAAAATCTGCTACAAGTCAGGAGTTCCCCTAATTGAGAATGGAATGATTGAGCGGGTGAGTATCTCAAGCTGTCCCCTGAGACTAGGTAGAGGTGGGACCTTTTCTGCAGTAGGGGAGGACTTGGAGAGACTCAGGGTCGGGGGTTGCTAAAAGTTGTGGGGTGAGGATGTTGCAGAGGGCATCTTACAAAGTCCATGGAGAAAAGAGCCCAGGGACAGGACTGATGTGGCCTGGGGTGTCCCTGGCAGATGATTGAGAAGCTGTTTCCGTGCGTGATCCTCACCCCCCTCGACTGCTTCTGGGAGGGAGCCAAACTCCAAGGGGGCTCTGCCTACTTGCCGTGAGTGCCACCACAGCTGCTCCCGGGCCCTGCTTCATCCCCTGCTGGGACTTCCCCAGCAGAAAAGAGGGGTGGGAGTAAAGATGATGATCAAATCCTCACCTCAGAAGGAAAGGCAGACCTGTCTTATATAGACAAAATAAAACACAAAGATCTGTAAGATCTGAACAAAGGAGATCCCCAGAGAGAGACTTTGCCAGGGAGAGTTAGCTAGGTGTCAGCTCAGCTGTTGCCCAGGCCAGAAGAAAACCTTTTACGGGCAGGTACCTGTATGGGTATGTATCAGAACCGAGGGTAGATGACTTGAAAAGGGACGCAGTGAGGCTTTTCGGGGTCTTTTCCTTCTGTTATGTACCGTCTGTCCTCTTGTCCCCATCTCAGTCCCTTATATCTGTCCACAGCTCACTGCAGCAGCCTGATGGGCTGAGCCTTGCATACTGTCCATATAGAGGGACAGATGAGGAGCTAGGAGAAGGGTGGGGTACCACCTCGGTCCCACTGCATTAGTTTAGAAAGTTAGAATTGATCCCTGATCCTCATTAACCATGGACTCCCTGCAGGGGCCGCCCCGACATCCAATGGACCAACCTGGATCCAGAGCAGCTGCTGGAGGAGCTGGGCCCCTTTGCCTCCCTTGAGGGCTTCCGGGAGCTGCTAGACAAGGCACAGGTGGGCCAGGCCTACGTGGGGCGGCCCTGTCTGCACCCAGACGACCTCCATTGCCCACCTAGTGCTCCTAACCATCACAGCAGGCAGGTGGGTTCCAGCCAGATCTGCCAGAGGAAGGCTATTTTCCTTCCCTTTCCCCTCCTGGTATGTTCCCCTGTTCTAGGAGAGAGTAGACTGTGCTCTGTGCTCTGCCCCCCATTTCCTTGACACTGTTACTCTGCCCCCACTGTGCTGGACACCCACAGTGTTCCATTCACATTCAGTTCTCCTAAGTGACCCTTAAGTGGTATGTGGATCTCTTTGTCGTTTTCTAAGCCCAGAAAGGCTGGACTTCATCAGATAAACATGCACAGGGAAACAGGACAAATTAGCTAAGCATGGTATCTTACCTAGTTTGCTAAGTCTCTGTGTGGTCCTGTGAGTGTGGCCCTTTTTCCAAAACCACCAGTTATGCCAGCTCCTCCCAGCGGCCTGTTGCTAGGCCTCTGCTCCCTCTTGTGGCCTCCTCTCTGCAGGACACCAGCTGTTCCCTTACAGAATAGGTAAGAGGTTCAGGAAAATAGTTATCTACACTTCAGGCCTACAGAGCTCTGTGGCAAGCGTGGTTCCTGGAGGTATCAGCCCAGAGACACCCAGTTATCCACAACCAGGACCTTAGGTAATAAACCCCTCCCCTTTCCCCCTCCAGGCTCCCAATGTGGCTCAGGAGTTGAGGGGGGGCTGTCACGGCTTCTCCCACAAGTTCATGCACTGGCAGGAGGAGCTACTGCTGGGAGGCATGGCCAGAGACTCCCAAGGACAGCTGCTGAGGTAGGGCCTCCCCTAGGGGTTGGCAAGGGCACCCCACATGTGGGGATACACACCCTGGGTCCATGCAGCTCTAGCAAAAGCCCCTTGCACACCCCCTCCTGGGTGTTCAGGCCAGCACTGACCCCCAGCTCTCCTGTACCCCCGCCAGGGCAGAGGCCCTGCAGAGCACCTTCCTGCTGATGAGTCCCCGTCAGCTGTATGAGCACTTCCGGGGCGACTACCAGACACACGACATCGGCTGGAGCGAGGAGCAGGCCGGCACAGTGCTGCAGGCTTGGCAGCGGCGCTTCGTGCAGGTCAGTGTGGAGATGGTGAGGGTGGTGCCCTGCGGCCACTCCCTCCTCCTGCCTCTCACACTACCCCGTCTCTCCAGCTGGCCCAGGAGGCCCTGCCTGAGAATGCGTCCCAACAGATCCACGCCTTCTCCTCCACCACCCTGGATGACATCCTGCATGCTTTCTCTGAAGTCAGCACTGCTCGTGTGGTGGGAGGCTACCTGCTCATGGTGGGTCCTCCTCCATGTGCCTTGCCCCCACCTCCACTGGAGCCCACCCTAGGAGCCCCTACCCGAGACTGCCCTTTCTCCCCACAGCTAGCCTACGCCTGCGTGACGATGCTGCGATGGGACTGTGCCCAGTCCCAGGGTGCTGTGGGCCTTGCCGGGGTGCTGCTGGTGGCCCTGGCAGTGGCCTCGGGCCTCGGGCTCTGCGCCCTGCTTGGCATAGCCTTCAATGCCGCCACTACCCAGGTACACCAGCACTGCAGGGCAGATGGGTGCCAGCCACCCAGGCTGCTCAGCTCCTCCAGCTGTCCACCCCTGTGCCCCTCCAGGTGCTGCCCTTCTTGGCACTGGGCATTGGTGTGGATGACATATTCCTGATGGCACATGCCTTCACAGAGGCTCCACCTGGCACCCCTCTCCAGGTGAGGCCTCATCCTCCGATCTGGGCTCATCTGAGGCAGTTCTGCATAGGGGTTAAGAGCCTCTTGGTTTGAGTGATCTTGGGCTGGTAATTAACCTCTCTGTGCCTCAGTTTCCTCATCTATGAACAGGGGTAATAGTAGTGCTTGTGTCATAAGGGTTGTTGTGAGGCTCAGTGAGGTGATTCAAGTCCAGTGCTTAGAACAGTGCATGACACATACGGGTACTCAGCAAACGTTACCTGCTGTGTTGTTCCTGTCCCTCCTTTGCTGTCCCAAGTTCCCGAGCCTCCCCTTCACTCTACCTTGTCCTGGCAGGAGCGCACAGGAGAGTGTCTGCAGCGCACAGGCACCAGCGTCGCACTCACATCCATCAACAACATGGTCGCCTTCTTCATGGCCGCTGTGGTTCCCATCCCTGCACTGCGGGCCTTCTCCTTGCAAGTGAGGCCTCACGAGTAGGGTCTGGGCTCAGGGTGGGCATGGAGCCGGGGACAGGCTTCATCCAGGCTCTGTGCCCCTCCTGTCCATCCCCCAGGCGGCCATAGTGGTTGGCTGCAACTTTGCAGCCGTGATGCTTGTCTTCCCAGCGGTCCTCAGCCTGGACCTGCACCGGCGCCACTGCCAGCGCCTTGATGTGCTCTGCTGCTTCTCTAGGTACCCCTACCCCACCAGGCCATCCTCCCTCGGCCCCATCCCATCCTGTCCTGTCAGCAGCATTTCCAGGCACAACCTGTCACCCCTCTCTCTGCCTTTTCCAGCCCCTGTTCTGCTCGTGTGATTCAAATTCTGCCCCAGGAGCTGGGGGATAGGACAGTTCCAGTGGGCATTGCCCACCTGACTGCCACGGTTCAAGCCTTTGCCCACTGTGAAGCCAGCAGCCAGCATGTGGTCACCATCCTGCCTCCCCAAGCCCACTTGGTGCCCCCACCTTCTGACCCACTGGGCTCTGAGCTCTTCAGCCCAGGAGGGTCTACACGGGACCTTCTAGGCCAGGAGGAGGGTACAAGGCAGAAGGCAGTCTGCAGGTCCCTGCCCTGTGCCCGCTGGAATCTTGCCCATTTTGCCCGCTCTCAGTTTGCACCATTTCTGCTCCAGTCCCACACCAAGGTAAGGCTCCAGGCCCGGGCAAGTCAAGGTGGGACAGGGCAGAGGCTTCTTAGGTGTCTCTGGGCCCGAAGAAGGGCAGAGGCCTGGCCCACCACCTGAGGGCCTGGAGGTATCCCTGGGCCTCCAGCTTAATTGCTGTTTCCCACAGGCCATGGTACTGGTACTTTTTGGGGCTCTTCTGGGCTTGAGCCTCTATGGAGCGACCTTGGTGCAAGATGGGCTGGCCCTGACAGATGTTGTGCCTCGGGGCACCAAGGAGCATGCCTTCCTGAGCGCCCAGCTCAGGTACTTCTCTCTGTACGAGGTGGCCCTGGTGACACAGGGTGGCTTTGACTACGCCCACTCCCAACGCGCCCTCTTTGATCTGCACCAGCGCTTCAGTTCCCTCAAGGCCGTGCTGCCCCCACCAGCCACCCAGGCGCCCCGCACCTGGCTGCACTATTACCGCAATTGGCTACAGGGTGAGAGGCAAGGAGACTGGCAGGGAGGGCTGCTGCCGGCAGAAGCCCCCAGAGCCCCAGGCCAACCATACCCTACCCAGGCCAACCGTACCCTACCCAACCATGTTCTCTCCCAGGAATCCAGGCGGCGTTTGACCAGGACTGGGCTTCTGGACGCATCACCCGCCACTCGTACCGCAATGGCTCTGAGGATGGAGCCCTGGCCTATAAGCTGCTCATCCAGACCGGGGATGCCCAGGAGCCTCTGGATTTCAGCCAGGTTGGGAGAGGACTGGAAGGGTCAGGGAGCACAGAGCGGCTCCAGGCCTCACAGGCCCAGGCCTTCAGCCCTCTCTGCCTCTGCAGCTGACCACAAGGAAGCTGGTGGACAAGGAGGGGCTGATTCCACCTGAGCTCTTCTACATAGGGCTGACTGTGTGGGTGAGCAGTGACCCCCTGGGTCTGGCAGCCTCACAGGCCAACTTCTACCCACCACCTCCCGAGTGGCTGCATGACAAGTACGACACCACCGGGGAGAACCTTCGCAGTGAGTCCCAGGGGAGCCCAAAAAGCCTAGGCCTGGGCCCACACAGGCCCCACCCTAAGGCCCTGCCCACTCCTTGCTGTGCTCACTGGCCACCCTCCCCCTCACCCCCTCCTCTCCACAGTCCCGGCGGCCCAGCCCCTGGAGTTTGCCCAGTTCCCCTTTCTACTGCACGGCCTCCAGAAGACTGCAGACTTCATGGAGGCCATCGAGGGGGCCCGGGCAGCGTGTGCCGAGGCAGGCCAGGCTGGGGTACGTGCCTACCCCAGCGGCTCCCCCTTCCTCTTCTGGGAGCAGTATCTGGGCCTGCGGCGCTGCTTCCTGCTGGCGGTCTGCATCCTGTTGGTGTGCACTTTCCTCGTCTGTGCCCTACTGCTGCTCAACCCCTGGACAGCAGTCCTTATAGTGAGTCCTTGCAGGGGTGGGGCTGGAGAGATCCATCACTCTCACACCTTGCGGCTCCCAGGAGCCCTGGGTGATCCCTGCCCTCCCCAGGTGCTGGTCCTGGCAGTGATGACTGTGGAGCTCTTTGGCATCATGGGCTTCCTGGGCATCAAGCTGAGCGCCATCCCCGTGGTGATCCTTGTGGCCTCTGTGGGAATTGGTGTCGAGTTCACCGTCCACGTGGCTCTGGTGAGCACAGGCACTGGGGGAGGGGTGGGCCAGCTGATTCAGTCTTCAACAAATATTGATTAAGCACCTACTATGTGCTGGGTACTGTTTAAGAGCTGGGGAGATAATAGCAATACAAACAGGCCTTATCCTCAAGGATTTTATCCTAGAGTATAGAGATCAACAGTAAACAAGTAAACAAACAAGTAAGCAGCCAATTCAGTAGAAAGGAGGGACAAAGCCCTGACCAGAATGAGGTGAGGACAGAATGGAAGGTGAGAAAATGGGAACCAACAATGTTTTTTGGACGGATTTACTGTGAAGGGGATCAAAGAAATGGGGTGGCAGCTGGATGCTGTGTGGTGGATAAAGGAGAGATTCTACCAAGACAGAGACAGCCAAACACAGGCAGGCAGGCCTCTCCCACAGCCTGGTGTTCTCTGGCAGAGGAGAAGAGGAGGGTTGGGTGGAGGCCATTGATCAGACCCCACAAACAGCTCCCTTCTTTTTTCCCCCATAAAAGCCTTATTATTTTTCTGATTATAAGAACAGTATATACTGCTTGGGAGACCAAAAAAAGTCAACATACAGAAAAGTACCAAGAAAGAATTAGAAATTCTCTGAAATGCCACCCCTGAGACATAAACTAGAACTTTTGGTGTCCATCCTTCCAGACCAGGGGTTGACAAATTTTTTTTATAAGGGACCAGATGGCAAGTATTTCAGGATTGGCAGGCCACATCGTCTCTGTGGCAGCCCTGCCATTGTAGCATAATTGTAGATAATATCTGCATGAATGAGTGTGGCTGTGTTATGACAAAACATGTACAAAACACATGCAACAGTCTAGTTTGCCAGCCTATTCAAGACATTTCTCTGTGTCTCACCAGACACATCTATGCCGTGTTACCTATATGGACTTGTGCTTGCGTCCTGGATGGTTTCCAGGAACTCAGTTCACCTGGCCTTCTGTGGGCCGAAGCATGGGTGAGCCCTGGGGACACAGATGAGTTGGCCATGGTTGGCAGAGAGTAGCTCCAGGACCACTTTGTTCCCCCAGGGCTTCCTGACCGCCCAGGGTAGCCGGAACCTGCGGGCTGCCCGGGCCTTAGAGCACACATTTGCCCCGGTGACTGATGGGGCCGTCTCCACATTGCTGGGTCTGCTCATGCTTGCTGGTTCCAACTTTGACTTCATTGTAAGGTAGGAGGAGGCTTGGGGCAAGGAAGTGGGGCTGGCCTGCGCTGTCCACAGGACCTGCCAGGGCTGACCACCCCCACATACCCCCAGGTACTTCTTCGTGGTACTGACAGTACTGACACTTGTGGGCCTCCTCCACGGGCTCGTGCTGCTGCCTGTGCTGCTGTCCATCCTGGGCCCCCCACCAGAGGTGACCACACCCTCCTTCTACTCCCAGCCCAGGGGACTGGGTGGGACAGGCAAGGGAAGGACAGAGCCAGGACAAAATGCCCTCAGTGGTCAACAGACAGGGCTTAACTTACAAGGACCCCTCTAGATGAGGTGCCACCAACTGAAGGTGGCAACCTCCCCCTTTGCCCAGACGTTAACTTCCCTGCCCCTCAGCCCTCCTGACTTCTTCATGGGACCCACCTTAGCCTTTTAGGGTCCAGGACAAGGTGCAGGGTTTGTCTCAGGGCTCGACATCCTGTCCCACGTCAGCTCTCATGTCCTGCTAGAGACCAACAAGGACCCCAGCTTCCCACCAGTCATGGTGCTGCACCAGGGAGGTGCTGAAGGGGGCGGAGCTCACTGGGGCTTGTGTCTCCCCCCAGGTGGTACAGATGTACAAGGAGAGCCCAGAGGTCCTGAGCCCCCCAGCTCCACAGGGAGGAGGGCTCAGATGGTCGGTATCCCCCACCCAGCCCCGAAGCTTTGCCAGAGTGACTACCTCTATGACCGTGGCCTTCCACCCACCCCCACTGCCTGGTGCCTACATCCACCCAGCCTCTGATGAGCCTACTTGGTCCCCTGCTGCCACACCAGCTGGCAATGGCTCCAGCAACCTCAGTTCTAGGGGACAATGTCCAGCCACCTGATGAAACAGCAGCTGAAGCATGGAGACCTTGTTTGGGCCAAATGAAGTCACTGGGAAACCATGGGTGGGTTATTGAATGTAGGGTGGACTCCTGAAGAGCCCTGCTGATCCTGCTGCCTGCCTGCATCCCCTCCCCCCACCACCGGCCATCACAGACCTCCCTGATATCCATGCAAAACCACCACCCTCTAGGCTGTGAGCAACCTTGCACCCCTGGGTCCTCTGTGCCTGTGTCTGGGTGGGGTAAAAGCCAGCACTTCAGGCTGCAGTGCAGCCCTGTACTCCCCCCACCCCAGCCCAGACTGCTGCCCCCAGCAGACCAAGCCTGAGGGATCCTGCAGCACCCTTTGCAGGTCCTGGTCCCCCACTGCTTGGTGACTCCTGGGTAGGTTCTCTATACCTGCTTACCTCCCACCACATAAATTATTTATATGAAGATGTTTATTTTTGTAGTTTGTATAGATGTTAGCTATGCTGAAAGTTTTATTTTTAAAGAGTAAAATATATTCTATATGAATTCATTTCAAATTACTTTGGCACCTTTTTTTTTTAATGGAGGGACTGGGAATTGAAGCCAGGACCTTGTGCGTACTAAGCAGGAGCTCTCTACCACTGAGCTATTCCCACCCACTTTGGTGCTTTTCTTTGGGACAGAGTTGTAAGTTTGCAAGTAGAGGTGTCAGGGCCTGAGGGCCTCTAGTCCTTGGTCTGTTTATTCATCTGGCAAGTGAAGAAGATGTTCAGCAAATACGTTGGTCATGTACTTGATAACAGAGTCTGGGTTAAGTGTTTAGTACACAAAATGATACAAACTTTTTTGGTGTCAAACCCCACTGTGTGGCTTTCAGAGCCATCATGATCCAGCCCTGTGCACCTCTCCAGACTCATCTCCCACATTCCTGTTTCAGTGGCATGCGGGGGCGATGGGCAGAGGGACACAGCCATACAATAGGTGGGAGGTGAAGTGGAAGCAGAGAAAGTGACCAGTTGAACAGAGATGGGAACAGCAGGGTCTGGAGAGATGTTTTAGTTTTGTGCCCTCCAAGACAGAGGCTTCTGCAAGTCAGCAGTCAGCCTGATGTCGCAGAGGTATCTCTGACCAGACGGCTAGGGGATCGGTGGAGGCAATCTCCAGAAACAGGTTGCGCTAGCAACCAGTGAGGTGCTGTATTTAAGCTGCTTATTCTGCGAAAGTTGGACAGCCCCACTGTACAGAGGCCTGGAAGATTCTGGCCACACCTCTGGGTATAGAGTCTCACCTGACAGATGGGGAGGGGGAGGTCTCTTATTGCCCTTCCCAAGTTATCCCAGGGTTCATACATACCCTGGGTTCCAGTCACCCACTCACCAGGAATGATCCCACCCCCAGAGCATTGCCTTCTTACAAACCACCCCACCCCACCAGGACAAAAGCCAGAAAATCATGTTCTGACCAAAAAGGGGGAAAAAAGTCTAATGCAGCGGAAGCAACACTATATTGCTTAAGAAGACTTAAGATAAGCAGGCAGTTGGCTTGGAACCTTGAGTAGGGGGTGCAGCCAGAATGCCTAAGGGATGCATGCTGGATTTGGGTCCAGGAGTGTTTGGGTCACTATGCAGGGGCTTTGGGGTAGAGCAGGAGAGCTCACTGGCCTGGAATAGTGCAAGAGTGCCCACCGTGCCACTTACCAGTGGAGTGACTTGGAAAAGTCAGCCAACCTCACTGAACCTCAATGATTTCAGCTGTGAATTGAGAAGATTAGAGCCTATCTTGTAAGGTGTGAGTTTTTCCTTTCAGAATTTTAAATGAAATATGTAAGAAATGACTTGGCATCTCATAGGTGCTCTCTCTGTGTAGTTTATAAGTTGTTAGCTATGCTGAAAGTCTGCTGATTGCATGCTTAAGAAATAACCCTAAAACACTGAACGGTGTTGTGGTGTGGCAGCAACTGAAGAATTCCAGCCAGTTGGAGCTGGTCCACCCCAGGAATGGTCAATCCCGGGGCACTGACCACATCCAGTCTTGGGGACAAGCCCCAGTATTTGCAGGGCAGCCCACCCTGTGTGGCACCACACACTACTCAGCCCTCTGACTTCAACATCCTTTCACCACTCCCCATCACTGACAAAATAAAAGCCAAGCCCTTTCCAGGACTAACTCAATGTAGCTCCACCAATCACCTCAGTTCTCTGGGGGACAGCGACCTGCCAGACTCACACCCTCATTCAGACACACCACACTCCACTCCAAACAGGGTAAATTACTTTGGGTGTTCCCCTCCCATAGTTTCACATAGGACATTCCATCTGCTCAGAACACGTTTCCGCCTCCTCTTGACCAAAACATCCTTCCAGATAAACTGGATGACACCTCCTCCGGGGGGGTGGTGATGTGCCTCCTACATAGTCCCAAGGTCCCTGAGTGTCTGTGCCCCACCGTTTCCGCTTCTGTCCCTAGAATGGGGGGCGAGGGGGAGGCGTCCCTGTGGGTATGAAATGATAGGACAGAACCACAGCGACTGGGACTAACACTTAACCCCGGGTAAGGGACTCGGCATTCGGCATCAGCGGGAAGCTCCCTTACCTCTCCGGCCAAACCGGGGGCCGGTTCCCTGGCGGACGCGCAGAGAGGAGAGAATTGCGGTCCAGGAGATCCTCACAGCGCCGCCGCCCCACCCACCCGAGCCGCGCCGCTGGTGTCACCTACTGGCCCAGAGTCGTTTGTGATTTACATACCCATGGTGCACCACGGAAGCCAGTTTCACAATGCTTGAGTTCTAGCCCCACGGGGGTCTATCCACTGATGGAGGGCAGAGTGCCTGTCAGAAATATATGGGCTGTGTAAATTCCACGCAGGGAGTGCAAACCGCGCAGGAGCTGAGCAACCATGAGTGTGCTAAGCGTTACATCACTCTGGGAGGATCCAAGCGGAAATAAGCAAATATACTCTGGTTTCTCTTCAAACCGTATAAATCTTTCGCCTTTTACTAAAGATTTCCGTGGAGAGAAACAGTTATGAGTTTTTAGCCAATTTTTTGAGGCCTCGGTTATTTCTTCGGGGCTATTTTCAAAGTTAAAGTGTAGAAACTAGTTTTTCTGTTATTGCTGCTTTTTTTTTTTTTTCTTTTGCGGTTACCCAATGGTCTTGAGAAATTCTGGGGATAGAAAGTGTGGTCAGTTTTGGGTTTAAGTAAGTGTGTTCTCCTGACTATCACTCCCACGTTGCAAACGCGGGTTTTTCCCATTTTCTGCATGTTCTTTTTTGCCGGACGTGGAGAGAAACGAGCAAAAAGCGAAAGGCTTGCTGAGGTAGTCTGGTGTGACTCCCCCTCTGATCGTTCCCCGCTTAACACCAGTTTTTCATGCTGAAAATACAAGGTTCCTTCCCTCAAGGAGCCTGACTTGGAGCCCTAGAAAATACACAATCTCAGGGAGAAGTGCCCTGCAGAAAGAGCATAATGAAAAGGCCAGGGGTAGCTACTGAACCGTCTTGTCCCTGGGTCTTAAATCTGCATTCTTTCCGTGGGAGAGCTCATCTAGTTCAATAGTGACCTCCAAATTCACAGCTATCAGCAGGTCCCACTGACTCCTGTATTCAAAGCATATGCTTCATCCAATCACATTTTACCTTCTCCACTGCTCCCATGTTGGTCCAAGAGCTCTCCCTGGATTCTTGGAATAGCCCCTCCCTAACTGGTCTCCCTAGACCATCCTCCCCCTATGTCTCAATCCTCCACATAAAGGCCAAATAATTTTTTAAAATGTAAATCACATCATACACACCACTCTCCTACACAAACACCTCCAGTTGCCTTTCCCTAGGACATGGCTCATGCCCCTCCTCCTTCAGGTCTCTAGTCCACTGTTGTCAGAGGTCTACACTCACCACTTTGTGTGAAACAGTCCCACTGCCACCACTCTGTTTATCTGTTTAACATGCTTTATTTTTCTTCAGCGCGCAAACCACTCCCTGTGTTTCCTAAACACACGTGCAGTATTTAATCTGTCCCACTACATTTCTAAGCACTTTACAAAATTAACTTAATCTCCCTAAGAACTCTACAAAATACATTCTATTATTATCTCCATTTTATAAATAAGGAAACTCATAGAAAGTTAAATAGCCCTACTCAAGTCACAAAGCCAGAAAGTGGTGGAGCTGAGATTCAAACCCAGGCAGCCTGGCTCCAGAAGAGACATACTCTTAATCACTGTGCTATTGGTGGGGTTCAGGACTTCTACCCCAAAGTATGGCATCTTGACAAACTGAATATTTTAAACTGAAGGAATCTGAGAAAACAGGAAAGTCATTCTGACCTTCCCCCAATCCCCTCCCCTCTTCCATGAAACAGGTCATAAAATAGGCACCTGTGAGAGGTGCCCTTCCTATATCAGGAGGGAAGGAGCAACCTTTCTCCAAGGACAGAGACTCTGAGAAGAATTCCAAGGAATAAACCTTGCTAAATCCCCCCAGGTTACCACATTTACCTCATACTCTAACCTGGAATAAAAATTCTCGGGTTTAACTGTTTCTTCCAGTCTTCATTTCCTTTTGAAGTCTCCAGTGTAACGTAAAATGTATGCATTTCTTCTGTCACTCTTTCTTTGTCAATTTAATCTTCGGGCCCAGCCAGGGACTCTAAGAGGAGGAAGGAAACGTCTTCCTCGAAACATTATTTTTTCTTTTAACAAAAGGAATCATGCTCTATTTGGTCTGCATTGTGCTTTTTTCACCAAAGATCACAGTTTTTTTTTTTAATATCACCATGGGCATATACCATAGTTAATTTAACCAATCCTCTAGGTTAAACCAGTCCTCTAGGACATCTAGTTTGTTTTCAATTTTCATTATCCAAACAAAGCTGTCATAACGTGGTACTGAGGGTAATCACATTTTCAGTCTTGAGAGATAATGCCAAATAACTATCTTTAATCCATGTGTAACATATTTTTGCATAAAACCCCTGAGACAGAAGAATAACTATTTTTTTCAAATAGTTGTCCCTAATTTTACATTGATAGTATCTTGTTTTACAGCTCCTTTAAACTCTTTACAAAATAAGATAGCATTTAAATAAAACTGTACACCAGAAATTCATACATTGTAACTGACTATACTTAAATGAAAAAGAAAAAGAAAACAGGGAGGAGGGTATAGCTCAGTGGTTCAATCCCCAGTGCCTCCATTGAAAAACAAAATTAATAAACCTAATTAACTCCCCCTCTAAAAAAAGGAAACTAAAGTGCTCATTATTCATGCATTCGCTACTACTCAATAACATTTAAAAGAAAAAATAAATAAATAAAGTCGTCACTGAACATTTACAGAGCACTGATCATGTGACAGGGACTGGGAAAGCAGAAACGAATAAGGCACCACTCCAGGACCCACAGATCTTTCTCCAGGGACATTCAGATCCTCAGGAAAACAAAACGCATAACAAATGAAAGAGGAAACATGGGGAGTCTTCAATAGCCAAGAGTGTAAATCCAAGCTAGAGGACCATTGCCTTCAGGACCAGTAAATTTATGCAAAGGTAGTAGTTGGGAGAAGAGTTGCTAATGTTTGGAACCACTAGTAATCTTGAGTACCCTGAAAGTGAAATCGACTATATTTCTTCCTGAGGGCAGTGGGGATGTTGAAGAATTTAACAAGAGTAAGGCTAACAATCTTAGGCAAGTGTAGCAGCAGTGTGGGAATGGTCAAATAGTTGGGAGGGGTGCCTCTGAAGCAAAGGCAGGAAGACTATTAAGAGCCTGCTGCAGTAATTCCTGCCACAGATAGGACTGGCTGAACCGGGCTGAGAGAACTGAACCAAGTGGGAGGATTTTGTAGGGGAGGAAAAATAATTCTCCCTCTACCCTCTAAGCTCTTGGCTGGGACCTCTGTAATAAAACAGATTAACAAGAAAAAAAAAAGTTTATTAAAATGTATGTCTCATGTATACATGGGGGATACCCAGGGGAAAATTAGTAATTCCCTGAGATGGCCTAAAATACCTGCTTAAATACCACCTTCAGCTAAAGACAAAAGAGAGGAAAGCGTGGGGAGGCCAGTTATGGGAAGGCCCTCAGGAAAAAGCACCGAAAGCAAGGGTAAGGTTTATTAAGCAGATCTCAGTGGGTGACTTCACCTTAAGATTTTCCTGAGAGTTTAGTCATCCTTCTCCTGGTACAGAGAAGGAGACACCCTTACAAATGGAGATTTCCTTTATAAAATTTCCCTTACAAAAGAGGTTTAAAAGCTCTCTGCTTTAAGAGCTTCTCCTTTTTCTCAAAATAACCAGTTTAAAATAATCCTATGCCATAAAGGCACACGTTGTGGTGGCATATTTTGCTACCTTTCAGTCTCTTAAAAACTAGAAACCACGGGAGGCAGACATGAAGAAGAGGAATAAAGCAAGGATGAACTCTCGCTTTCTGGCTTGGGCACCCAAGGAGATGAGAAACACGATGGGGACAGAACTGGGGAGAGATGAAGAGGGGGTCAATTCTGGACTGAGTCTGAGGTGTCTGTGAGGCATTTAGAGAGAGAGAGATCTCCAAAAGGCAGGTCTGGAATTAAAGAGCGGACGAGCAGAAAAGTTATGTGGGGGTTACGAGAGTAAACCGGGCGGGCGAGAGTGCCTAGGGACCCGCTGTAGAGCCAGAGCACCGCGTGAAAGAAGCCGCTTTGGGGTTTTGCGCGAGCCTGCAGGACAAGACCCAGCACAACACCACGCCACTCTGGCCCGCCCTCCCCCGGAGCCTCACCCACAGCGCCTGCGCGTGGCCCACAGCCATCCCTCCAGCGACCCGCTCGCCGGGCATTCTGGGAGCGGAAGTCCGCTCCGAGCGCACAGCGTATCGGGATTTGTAGTTTGGGCGAGGCTCAAAATTCCTCGCAAGTCGCGCGGCCTTTGGTCACTTAAAGGGCAGGTCCAGAAAGCGGTGATGCTCCCGGGGCAGAGTGCCCCTCCGGCGGCGGCACGGGGCGCCCGGAGCCGCATCTCCTCTCCGCAGAGCGTGGCACTTCCACGCCTCTACGATCTGCTCCACCTGCGGGAGAGGCTGGTCACCGCGGAGTCCCTCAATGCTCACCTCACCCCGCGGACCCTGGGCCGCGCCCCCACCCGCGTGCTTCCTCCCACGCCGCGGAGGGGATCTGAGCCTCGTCCCCCGCGTCCGCACCGGGATGAGAGGCTCCTGGCGGTTCTGCTCTTCCAGGGCGCTCAGCTCTGCCGGGGCCAGCAAGGCCAGTCTCAGCTCCCGCACCACCGGGGCAGCCACCTCGGCCACAGGCCGCTCCAGCACCGCCTGCAGACACCAGCATTGAGCCCGGGCGGGCGAGGGCACCTGTCCAGCCGTCTGCTCGCCGGGTTCCTGCGGCCTGAGCCCCCGTCAGCGCCCCCATCCCTCTCTCCCCTCTGTCCCGGCTCACCGCGCCCACGCGCGCCCAACTCCGGGCTGCCAGGACCAGCTCGGCCTCGTCCACGCAGAGCTTGTCGCTACGCAGCAGAGGCAGCAATGCGGGCGGCGACAGCTCCAGGAAACCGCGGGTGCGGAGGGTCTCCTGTGGGCCGGCGATTGGGTCAAGGTGGAGCAGGATGAAGCGTGTGGGGTTGGGAGTATGGAGCTGGGGAGCTGTACCTGGCTGTGAGCCTCTATGAAGGCTACACAACGCTCCTGCAACGGTCCCAGGCCAAAGGTTACGGCAACCTGGGAGCAGAGTGAGGGAGGTCAGGTTGGAGACTCAAGAGGCCATGGAGCCCGGCCCTCTACATCGGGACTACCTGCAAGCCTGACCAGCAATACCCACCTGCAGGGCCTCACAAACCAGCTCCACATCCAGCACCTTCACCACAAACTCTAGGCATAGCTGGGAACAGAAATTAATGTGGGTTGTGCCAAAGTGTCTCTGTTCTAAGACCCCACCCCAGAAGCAGTAAGCAGGCTTGGAGCAGTGAGCCACCCAGGCTTCTAGCAGCCCTGGGCCCATGTAGACCTCCCAGGCCAAGGGAGGCAGAGAATCACCAGGGCCTGAGACTTGGCAAGCCTGAAGGGACTAGGAATTGGCAAAGCCAAGCCCAGCAACCTACCTTTTAGTACATTCCCCACTAATCAGACTAGTTAAGAGCCATGTGAAAATTCCACTCTCCCTTTCTCTCAGGATGCTTATCTTTCTCCACGTGTCCCCATCCTGATTAAAACACACTTCTGTTTTAACCATAAACTTGAATTTCATCTCCCTCTCACCCCCACATTGAGAAGAGCACTGGGTCATGCTTCCACTTCTCTCAAAGCCATGCACCTCTCTGTTGGGCTCCCACTCCCACCCTCATCCCTACCTGACTGGTGAACCCTTCTCATCCCGCCCAATCCTTTCTCTCCGTAGCTTCCATATCCTTACTCCTTTACCTGAAACCTCCAATGAATCTCTACAGCTCTCTGGGTAAAAGAAACCCAAATTCTTGAAGGTCCTGCAGGAACCCTGTTCTCATCTCTCTCCTCTCTCACTTTTGGTCCAGCCATGCTAAATGTCTCACCAGCTCTTTTGTACCTCTGTAATTAGAATGCCATCTTTCCTCTCCCACTCTGAACAAACTCCTACCCATTCTACCTGATCTAGCACAAATGTTCCCTCCAGGAAGTCTTCCCTTCTCTCTCCCTGGTGGTGAGACTAGAGAGACCCTCCATACTGTCTCAGCACCATTTGCCCTCATTTCTCACACTTCTTATGCCACAGGGTTAAGAGTTTTATCGTGTCTCTCTCTCTTTGAAGAACAGGGATCAAGGCTGACTTATCCTGGTATCTACAGCACCAGCCATACACACCCCATACGTCCCCCACCCCCAGCACACACAGGGTGTGCACATATCCTTTCACACATATATGCCTGTTTACACAGAGACACCCATATTCTTTCTGTATTGGTGCACATTCCTCTCTGGGCTAGTGGGTATGTGAAACAGTGTGTGAACTGAGCCCATAAGAGGCAGGGGAAACGAGACAGGGGCTTGTCACATAAACTCACCTCTCGCAGTTCCTCCAGCCCATACTCCACAGCTGCTGTCAGCACCTCCAACACCTGCAGAGTGGGTGGTTGGGGGAGTGGAAGGGAGTCTCACCCACCCATCTGCCCCGTTCCCGCCCAGACCCCTGCCCAGTGGGCTCACAGAGTGGCGGTGCAGCTGGGCACTGTTGGTGTACAGGAACTCCAGTACTGCCAGGAAGGCCTCAGCTGGCACTGCGCTTAGCACCACGGGGCTAGTCACCCCAGGGCCCAGCTCTGAGCCCAAAAGTCGCTGGAAGAAGTTGCATCTACATGCCAACAAGCATCGGTGGGCAAACACCTCCTGCCGTTCTTGACCAACCACAAAGCGAACATCACTATGGAAGAGATGGAAGAGAGCAGGGAGAAGAGGCTAGAGTCTCAGTGCCACTCTAGGCTTTGCCTTTGCCCACTCTGGGCCTCTATTTCCTTATCAGCTATATAAGAGACAGTCCCTCCAGCTGAAGGTCTGGGCCACACAGGCCTGGGTTCTAATCCCAGTTCCACCTTATAGTGCCTCAGGCAAGAGACTTTCCTACCCGTTGACTCTCAGGTTTTTCACCCCTGAAACGGGATGTCAATCCCAAACCCTAGGAGGTTGTTTGATCACTGAGGGGGCAACAGGACTGATGCACGGTTGATCCCAATACCGCTCTCCTCCCAGCCTGAGTCTTGGTGGGAGGGGAAGCCTTTCTTGGTTTCTCCTCCACAGACTGTAAATTCAGCTTCTTCAACCTCCTCCAGACAGGAGGGATAGGGGTGTGGTGGGTTGCAGAGTGTACTGGCTACAAACAGACAAGTCAGTGATGCACCATCATGAGGCCAGACCACATTTTCCATCTTCGTGATCACTTCCGGCCCCAGCCGCTGAGCTGCCGAACAGCATAGTGGGTAGGAAGCAGGAGATGAAGCTTGAGCATCCTGGAACCTCCTAGTCCCAGGTCCAAGGCCTGGGGGTTCCCATTGCTCAGACCAGACTGTGATGCTCAAAGTAGGGTAATGGGAGTGACTGATCCTTGGGGAGGAGCCTAGCTCTGCAGCAGTGGGGACAGAAAGCTGCATTCTAGTGCTCCTGACCAGCCCTGCCCCCATACTCTCTCTATCCCTGGTTTCAGACACCGCCCGCATCCTGGGCAGGCAGTGTGCCCTAGGCAGCACCCTTGAACTACTTCCTGTCTGCAGCCTACTCTGGCTCAATCTCTTAAGCTTTGTTCCTCTTGTGAGTCCCCAGTTCCCAGAACAGTCATCTGCTCCTCTGCCTCCCCAGGGAGGTACTCAAGTTACATCCTATTTCTCAGGATCTAGAAGGCAGAGGGCTTTTCTCTGCCAGAAACTCAAGATCCAAAAAAGGAAGGCCTTTCCCTGAGGTCACATAGCCGCTCTGAGCTCCAGCCCCCAAAGTCCCCACAGCCCCCACCTCTCTGGCTCTCAGGACATCGTAGACACTAAGTGACGAGTAGCCATCCTTTCCACTTGACTTCCCCAGACTGAGTTTACCAGGGAGGAGGGTGAAGTCCTAATTCCCCACCTCTTCCGAACCCAGGGCTTCCCCAGAGTCATCGGGCACAGCAGAGCCCGCTAGGGAAACCCCACAGACAGGGCCCACTCCCTCACCTGTATAGAGGGTTGTTGACGAGGCTTCGGAGTGCTGTGGAGAAGGATGCAGCCTCCCCGTGCACAACCAGTCCTGGCGTCTCCATGGGTGGGCTGGGGCAGGAGTAGGCAGGAGGAGTAGCTTGGGAGGCCTGTTGTCTGTGGGAGGCGGTAGGTGGAAGGGGCAGGAGGCCTGGTCAGGCCCTTGAGCTGGTGAGGAGCTAGAAAGGCCTGAGAGGGAGGAACAGGAGCTTGGGAGGCCTGTTTGCTGAAAAGCTAAAAGTTTTGGAATGGAATGCCCAGGTTCCTGAAGGCATCAGAGGCCAGCGGAGAAGGCCAGAGGCTCAGCTTAGGGATGGGGACTCAGGGAGGGGACCAACAGACGCCGAGGTGGAGCAGACTGGACTGGGGCGGAGAGGCTGGCTGCCGATGAGGCCCCAGCTGGGAGCCTGCCCAGGCAGCGCTGGGGTGGGAAGCCTGTGGGTTTCCACAGAAACTAGAGCCAGGCCTGAGAGGAGGCCCCGCCCACCTCCCACAGGCCCAGGGAGAACTTCAGCCCTCAGAGGGGCCCTAAGCAGAGTTAGAGGGTCCTAGCACCCTGGCTCCTGCTTGTCCGTCTGTCAGAATTCAAACTCCCTGCCCCCCGACCCTCCCCCTTTGTGCACACAGGGTCAGGACCAGGCCTGGGGAACCCCCCTTCATGGAAAAAGTCTTTGCCCCCATGGATCGTTTTCAGGGTCCAGAGCTGGGTTGTCTGGGAGGAGGCAGCCCTGTCCCTCCCAAAGAGGGGTCAGGTGAGGAGGTTTCAGCTCTGACAGAGGCATTGTGGTCTCTGGCATCCCTGAAATGCAACCGCAGTGGTGGGGAGGGGTAGAGCAGGCACAATCTGGACACTAGAGCACACAAGAGGTGCCGACAGCTGGGGACAAGCCCCAGGGCACTTAGGTCAGCAGGGTTCACTGCCAAATGGAGTCACCACTATTGCATCAGGTCTGGGTCCTGATGGGTCTCCCCCCGCCTCCCAGCCCTGAACTGAGGAAGTCATCCAAGACACACCCTAGCTCTGCAGAGGGAACGGAAATGTTTGTCCTTCTTGAGGCTGATGGGGAGATGATAGAGCCATGACGACAGGGCCATGACGTGCTCCTTCCTGTAGGCCCATGTCTTGATTCCTAAGCAGCCACCCACCCCCACAGTCTCAAGATTTCCCCATATGCCAAGCCTCTGTGACTTGTTCACAAATGGAGAGCCAGTCTTCACAAGGGGAGAAATTGGCTCAAGAGCCCTGGGATAGCTCAAGAGCCCTGGGATAGCAGGACACCTTTGTGACCAGAGCCCCTCTCTACATCTGCCCTTTCAGTCATACTTGTATGCCCTTAGGCTCTAAGCCCCTGTTGTCCCCTCTCTCCGATGACTCAGGCACCTCGCACTCAGCACGTGCTTATAGTAGTAACACTTCCAGGTTAAGCCAGAGCTAGGACTGGAGGGAGGGAACCAGGAAGAGAGGAGTGCTTGCCCAGCAACCCATGGCAACTCCACAACACAGACAAGGGGCCCTTACCCTCCCGCCTGCCAGTCAGGCCAGCTGGGCAAGGGCTATTAGGAGACAGCTTGGAGGCCAAAGGCTGCAGGTGACTCAGGTGCCTGAGGAGTTTCGGGAGAAGAGCGCAGCTGTCCCAAAACTGTTTCTGGAGGTATGGCCAGAAGAGAAAAGCAGAGGGTGGAAGGACCATTCTGAATCAGCTGGCCCCAGCCTCGGCCAGTTGTGGGAATCTTTGTGCCAGCCACCCTAAGAGCAGGTAGGGGTGGAGGAGGTGTGGATTCAAGACCCACAGGACTGTAAGGAGTTGTTTCTGTCTGTTCTTCCCTCTGATTAGGGGGTGGAGGCCCCATTATCTAGGCTGAAGTGGAGGGCAGATACCTCTCCCACTTCTTCTGCTACGGGAGTCAGTGGAAGGGAGAAAAGGAGGCGTACTTCAAGTTCACTTAGCTAACCTCCATAGTGCCCAGGGAAAGTGGAGCTTAGGAGGCAGGGATAGCCCAAGATGACAGACTGAGCAGCATCTCTTCCCTTATTGTGTCCCTAACAGCCCTTAACCCTCTAAGCACCCAGGAATCCACACAGCCCCGGACTATTTGATTCACCTGTCCCAAAAACACAGGTAATAAGGGGTCTGGGGATAAAAACCTTTATCACTTAGTAAGAAGTGCGTAAGGCCATCCCAAGTGTGGGTCTTCTAGCCGCAGGTACATGGCTGGCAGGCCTGTGCCTCCCGGAAGCCAGGAGGAAGAGACTGCCAAAGACCCTGGGCTGAAACTAGCACCGGCGCGGCCTCTAGGCCGCCTGCCCAGCATTGATGAGACCCGACCAGCCGGCCCCGGCCCAGCCTCCCGCCGTGGCTCTGTGCTGGGTCCAGCCTCGTCCTTTTCACGCTGCAACTCGCTGGCCGGACCAGGCGTGGGTCCTGGGGGTCGGCGCCCATCCCTGGGCCCAACGCCTCTTCTAGGCTCACGAGTCAGCTTCTCGGGCTTGCCCCCGGTGCCTGCCTGCCGGGCAGTGCCCTCGTACCGCACGGAGCCTGCGCCGGGGGAGCACTGGCAGGCCGCGCGCACTCAGCGGACCCTGGAGGCGGCGCTGGCAGAGGGGCTGCGCGATGCGTGCTACGTGGGCGCGGAGGCCGGGCGGCTGGCGCGGGAGCTGTGCGAGCTAGTGCGCGTGCGCGTGCGCGAGCTGAGCCCGCCGCGCTACAAGTTGGTGTGCAGCGTGGTGGTGGGGCCGCGCGCTGGCCAAGGCGTGCTTGTGGTCAGCCGCGCGCTTTGGGACGCGGAGCACGATGGACTGGCCTCGGCAGTCGTCACCAACGCCTCGCTGTTTGCCGTGGCCACGGTCCACGGACTCTACTGTGAGTGAAGAGGCCTCCAAATTCTACAAAAATGGTTTATTATCCCCGGAGGAGACCCTCCCTGGGGCTCACATCCCAATAAATAAAAGTATGTCAATAAATAAAAGTGGTCCATAAATAACACCCCCTAGCTGGGGGCTAAGGCTCAGGCTTTTCTTGGAGAAGGGGTAGGAGGCAGCCTCCAACCCCGGTAAAGCTGGTCCCTGATTCCCAGGAGGATTCGGCCCAGAGCCCCCAGTGAGGCACCAAAGGAACAGGGAGGGCCACAAAGGCAAGGACCAAAGCCTTATAGGCATGGGCCTCAGGCCCAAGTGGTTGAGTGGTGGCCAGCCCTGCAGGCTGGGGCTTAGACTGGGCAGCGGTCCCGGAGCAGGCGCAGAGCATAGCAGAGCCGCTGCCGCAGGTCTGGGGAGCAGCCTAGCTGCCGAAGGTGGGAAGCGAGGTAAGTACAAGCACTGCGATTGCGGGCCACAAAAGTCACAAGTAGGGGCTCCCAGCCACTGAGGATCAGCTTGGTGTGGTCTCCATAGAAGTTCACCTGTGCACAGGAAGATGGCATTGATCAAGGCCTAGGCGCCAGATCATTTTTTCCCCAGCACCTTGGACTCTCCTCACCCCCTAGATCTTCCCCCAAAATTCCAGGTGGAGCTCTTACCTGGACGGTGCCATCACTAAACAGCATGAGTAGGGCCTGATCAGTCTTGACCCACTGCAGCAGGAGTGGGGGGACAGGCACCTCTACCTCTTCCACACTGGGCAGATCTCCACCCTAGGAGCAGGGCAGGTCACTTGTCTGACATGAGTCAGGCCTCTCCCCATTCATGTCTCCCTTAGAGGTTCAGATTTTAGATTCAAACCCCCTGCCCCCAACCTGTCCCAAAGGGGAATAGGAAGGGATCAGGATGTGTTAGTCCTCAATGTGCCCCACCGCAGTCGACAAACCTTCATGAGGCGCTGCTCCATGTAGGAAGCGAAATACCGCAGAACACCCAGCTGAGGCTGCAGGGCCCGAGGTACAGCACCCACAGAGAAGGAGAAGTGCTTAGTGCTGGTAGGGTTGTAGTGCACAGTCCTGGAGGGGAGGAGATGTAGACAGAGGTCAGAGGGAGACCTGTACCCACATCCCTCCCCTAAGAGACCCCAGGCCCCCAAGCCCATAAGCACACACCAAGGTGCAGCCCTGCTGGGTATATCAGCCCCATAACAGCACTTACTTTCTGTTGGCTGACAGGGCCATATGTGTGCCATTATTGAAGAGCACAGCCACACGGCGGCTAGACAGCTGATATCCAAAGCCAAACTTGTTGGAGTAGTCAACCCACTTGCTGACCCACACCAGAGGCTCTGGCTGTGCCAGGGGAGCTGGGTTCTGTTCAGCTATTGTGGAAGAGGAAGGAATGTGGATCTGTTCTCAGCCTCCCAGCCAAAGAACTCCCACCACCATTCACACAAACCAGACCCCAGCCTCACCTGGGGGCATGAAGGCCAGGCAGTTTCTCAGAGCACAGAGGGCTGACTCCACCACTGTGGCCACAGTCAGACCTTCTTCAAACCCTGAAGGGAACAGGGCACTGGGAATTAGGCAACAGGCCCCCAAGACCTAGAGAGTAACCCTGCGCCCATTCGTTTCCTCTGAGCCCTGGTCTCAGCCCCAGCAACATTCAGCACCCCTCATCCTCCTGGCTGCTCACCATCTCCACTACTCGCCAGTGTCCCACGGGGTGAACTGTCTTCAGGTGGTGTCTCTACCAGGCTTGGGGGTGCTGGGCCTGAAGCTGCTGGAGCCTGGAGGGTTGGGTAGGGAAAGGGAATGAAACAGGCCCAAGACCCAAATCCTTGAGAGTCCATGGCCCAGTCCTGTCCTGGCACCCGGGGCAACCCAGGTCAGCCCCGCCCAGCTGATGAGACACAGCCAATTAGGCCACCACGAGGCTAGATGCTTCAGCAGCCTCTTTTATCCCCGGCTTCCCACAGCTGCTAGGGTGGGGGTGAGTCAGGGGAACACTGTCCACATGAGCACCTCACCTCGGGCCTGGCATCCTGATGACCAATGGACGTCCGAGTGAGGCCATTCACCAAACAGGAGACCTCATCCCGCTCCTCGGGATGGTTCTTATCTGGGTGGGGGAGATAGAGCCCTCAGGATGCTGCCCAGCCCCCCTGCTTCCCGCAGGGATGACAGATAGGCACACCCAAGTGCCTGTGTAACACATACTCTCCCTAGAGGTTCAGAGGGACTCATACACTTCCACTTTCATGTGACAAGCCCCCCTGTCGCTCTCCACCCTCAAAACCACTGACATCCCAGACTCACTCTTGTTCTTCTTCCTCCCAAAGAGGCTCTTGGTAACTTTGACAAATAGAATCTTAGCTGGGTTAAGGGGTGTCAGGTCTGGGACTGTCACACAGCTGCTGACAGGGAGCCGGTCAGGAGTGTAGCCCTGAGGGGAGAAGCCATGTGAGCAGAGAAGAGCCTGTCACCTGCCCCCAGTCAATCCCCTGGAAACACGCAGCCTGGACGTGGGTGTCTGATGAGCTACCGACCTTGGTAAAAAAGTCATGGCGCAGGATCTGGTCAATTGAGGGACGGTCTTGGGGTGAGGCTCGAAGGATGGCGGCCAGGAGCTGCCGGGCAGGCAATGAGAGGCTGGCAGGCAGAGTGTAGTGAACCTGTTTGATGCAGCGGTATGTCTCTTTCAGGTCAACTGTCTCAAAAGGGGGGCTGCCACATAGCAGTGTGTACCTGTCAGACAGAGAAAAGGGGGTCAGGAGTAAAGTGGAATGGATGCCCACCCTGTGGCACCTCTGTGTGAGCATGACCCCAGGACTCACATGACACAGCCCAGGGACCACACATCTGCCTCAGGGCCATGGCCCTGCCTCTGCAGCACTTCTGGAGCCACATAGTTGGGGGTGCCACAGATGGTCCTGAAAGGGGGTGGGGAGAAAAGGGCAAGGTTCAGATGCAGCCTGGCCGGCGCCTTGTCCCTGCCCCCACTGTGAGTCCAGACAAAGCAGCTGCCTGTCACCAAAGGCCAGAGAACTCCTGCTTGTCCTGGGACAATGGATGGAGGGGATGGCAGCTGAATCCCCACCCACCCGCCTGGCCCAGCTGCTCAGCTGCTCTGCAGGACAGGGGGAGGCCCTGACACCTCCCCCAGGGTCAACAGAGGGTACATCACTGATCCCTTCCTCCTTACCCCAACCGTGTCTGTCAGACACCCATACAGGCTGTCACCTCCTATGGTCTGTGCCACACACACCAACACCAGCTGTCACATCCCCCATAAACACTTATGTGCCACACATGCTGTGTTACACACCCAGTCTTTGTGGCCATAGCAGGGTCTTCTTACACACACACACATACACACAGGGTGTCCCACCATTCCCACACTCTCAGTCTGTCTCACACACACACACTGCTTATTCACCTTCCACATTCACACACAGGATCAGTCATACACCTCCAAGAATTCTTACTCAGGGACTCAGACACACATAGCCTCTCCACCAGTCTCTGTAACCCAGGCTGCCACCACCACCTTCACACACACACACACACACAAATACATACACACAGACACACACAGCCCACCATCCCTTCCCCATCTATCTCATACACACATCAGGTAGTCATCGCGCCTCCCACATACATACTCAGTGTCTGTCACCCAAATCATCTGTGTCACACAGGCTGTGGCCACCCCCCTCCTCAAACACTCACTTCTTCCTATGCTCCGGGGGCTCCAACCGGGTTGCCAGCCCAAAATCCCCCATCTTCAGTTCCATGTTCTCAGTGATAAAAAAATTTCCTGGACGGGGGCAGTAGAGAGGTGTGTCAGATGCCTTTCACTGCCTCCCCAACCCCGCATCCTGCTGGCCTAGGAGTCTCACCCAACTTGAGGTCTCGGTGCAAGATGCCCCGCTGGTGCAAGTACTTGAGTCCCGAAAGGATCTGCCGAAGGTAGTAGCGTACCTCTGGCTCCAACAGGGTATGCCGGGCCTTCCAGACGTGGGCCAGGGACTGCAAAGAGCCACTGCCTCAGCCCCTGGTACACCCTCGCTGACCCTCCCTCCATTTGTGCTTGCTGAGTAAGAACAGGGCTCTGACTTTGGGTCTTAAGGTCCCTATTCCCTTCCCCACCTCCACCACCATCCCTCACCTTTCGGCTGCAGAGCTCCAGGAAAATGTATATGTTGTCAGCATCCTCAAAGTGGTGCGAGAAACGCACGATGTGGCGGTGCTGTAGGCCACGGTGCAGTTCAATCTCATTTAGGATCTGCAATGAGGGCGCGTGGTTATCATCCATCAAGGACTCCCACGCCACTGTCCCCACCCCACCTGTCGTCAGCTGGGCCTGGGCACGGGCCCACCTTCTCTCGCTGATGCGGCTTGGTAATGCGGCTCTGCGAGATGACTTTGACCGCGTAGGCATTGCCGGTCTCTGTGTCAGTGGCCTCATAGCAGCGAGCAAAGCCCCCCTGTGAGGAGAGGACATCAGGTAGGGTGCTCCAGGGGAGGCCGGGTCTGGCCCGCAGACATCCCCCAGCCGAGGCCAGGCCCTCCCCCGTCCCGCCCTGGGCAGGCAAAGAGGCGGGCAGGGCCCCTTCCACGCTCGCTGGCACCACCCTCCAGCTCACCTTGCCCAACAGGCGGCCTTTGAAGTAGGTGCGGCCCGTGCGCGGATCCATGATGAGGCGC